GGCGGGAAAGGACTTGTTTCGCAATATTTTCTTACTTTTCTATTGACGTTATATTTGTAATTTACTCGGTATTAGAAACACCATTTGAACTTCTTGTTTGGCTGGAAACAGGCTTGTATATTGAGTGAGTTGTCCCAAAAAGGAGTGATTGCAGACATCTTCCATAAATCATTTCCCAACTTATTGCTTTTGCTTGTCTGTTCGTCCGGACTATTTATGTTCATTCATTTGGTTTATATTTAAGAGTTATGGCCTGGAACGAAAGCTTCTCAGCAGCTGACGGCGGTGGTTGGGCTGGTGACACTTCCTTCGCAACTGCACCTCCGAAAGAGGCACAGTCAGCGAAGGTTGCTGAAAGATTACCTGTGCCAGTAACCGTCGCGGATCTACATGACTCGGCTAATGTGGAGGAGAGATACGAACTTGGTGATTATCCTTTCAGTACGGTAGGTCAATTATAAGTATTTATCTTAAATTTAACCTTAATATGTGCAATCAACGATTCGTCTACATTAACTGTAGCCACTTTCCGCGCATATTGTTTTATTGAGGCAATGCTTATTTTTCTTTAGCCTCAAATGCCAGTTTGCATCGCATTTCTATATCCATCACATTGCAACCGTCAAAATTTGAGTTATGACTTTTACCTTCTTCCCCAGTTTCCCCGCATCACAATATTTGAGATGGAACTCTTCTGCATTTATGTGCAGTCGAGATTATTTGACGAAGATTATTTGACGGTTACTTGACGCAGAGAAGGACTGCTAACACCTGAGAATTTTGCAGAGTGTTATCTTCGAAATTCAACCTTAATCAGGGGAGGCTAATTTATCAGGCCTTAGCTTATGGTACTGGCGCTCTACTTTGGATTGGCTTTTTGATCGAGATGATTTTCATACACATCGTAAATAGTCCAACTCATTACCAGGAACGTGAGAATCACGTTACCCAGTTTCATATATTCGCTGCAATACGAGGTTGGTGTAATAGGACGACCGATTTTTATAGTAGCCCATAAAATGTAGATTCTTTCCTTGGTTAAGT